TCGTTTGGGATGTCCCTGAGGAGAGTTCAACAAAAAGCACCTCTGAAAAAGAGGAAACCGCAAAGATCTGTCTAATGGTGAAGGACAATGAAGCCAGTACTTCTACTAAGGATAACGAACTAGATGAGATAAATTTCTACGACTCTAGTTCATGTTCTAACTCAAGTAACTTACCTACATATGATGAACTGTACAATGCTTTTGTTGAACTGCGTGAAGAACTTAAGAAAGTAGCCAAAGTAAATGTAGATCGAAAAAGAATTATTTTATTGAATGAAAAGAAAATTGCTAGCATGCAAAAAGAAATGGATGAACTTAAACTTGAAAATGAAACTCTTGATCTCATTTACTCTAGTGATTCATGTATGTGTTCTACTAAAGTTATTGAGACTACTGCATGTGAAACTTGTTGTGAACTGAAAATGGAAAATGACGAACTGAAAAACAAAATAACAAAGTTCACATACAGCAGTCAAAATCTTAACAGATTACTTGCTTCATCAAAGAACATAGGAAATAGAACCGGTCTCGGGTTCAAACATAAAAGCAAAAGGAGACCTTTTAGAAAGCATGTAGCTAGTAAATCTCATGTTATTAATCAGAAACTGCCTACTTGTTTCTATTGTGGTGTTCATGGTCACACATCTGGCTCTTGCTACATTAAACGGCACGGAGTGCCAAGGGGCAAGTATGTGTGGGTAGCCAAATGTGCACCAGGTTTTGTTACTAACAAGAAAGGAGCCAATATAACTTGGGTACCTAAAAGTAAGTAATTTGTGTCTTGCAGGTATGTCTACGAACACTCGGACAACACTGGTATCTCGACAGTGGGTGTTCCAGACATATGACGGGTGATAAGTCCAAATTCTTGGATCTTACACTCCGAGACAAGGGTTAACTCACTTACGGAGACAACAATAAAGGAAAGATCCTTGGAATCGGAAGAGTAGGAAATGCTTCTCAGGCAATTGTGGAAAACGTGCTATATGTTGAAGGCCTGAAGCACAACCTACTCAGTATCAGTCAACTATGCGATATAGGTAACAAGGTATCTTTCGATTCTGACTTTTGTATTATCTGTGATGGCGTAGACGATAATGTTAAGTTCGTCGGTCACCGAACTAACAATATCTATATGGTTAATCTGGACAATATCACTTCTCTATTTTCAAAATGTCTTATTTCAAATGAGAATGATATTTGGACCTGACATAGAAGGTTAGCACATATCCATCTACGACATGTGGAAAAGATAGTGTCAAAAGAGCTTGTTGTAGGACTGCCAAAACTAAATTTCACAACTAAAGATATTTTCCACACCTATCAAAGGTGTAAGCAAACGTAAAATTCTTTTTCATCTAAAAATGTGATTTCCACTACAAGGCCATTAGAATTACTCCACATGGACTTGTTTGGACCCTCACAAATAATGAGTTTTGGAAGCAGTCATTATGCTCTAGAGGTAGTTGACGACTTTTCCCGGTTTACATGGACTCTGCTCTTATCTTTGAAAAGCGACGCTTTCAAAACTTTTTAATCGCTTGCCAGGAAATTGCAAAATCAATTTAAGTTGTTTCATGTATGTTTAAGTAAATGTGTTTTTCTTAAACTTAGAAGTCAACCAAGTCTATAGAGTGTCTAGTTGCCACACTATGTCACACACACAAAATGCTGAAAATGTCAAAATTTTGTCTAAATAATCGATTAAGGCTTGATTTAATCGATTACCTGGGCCCAAACTCATTTTTGAAGAGTCTATGTTTGTGTAAATAATCGATTAACAGAAATGCTTAATCGCTTACTTGGGCTTCAAATTTCAAATTTTTTGAAAATTTTCACATTGTTAATTGATTAAACATTCCATTTAATCGATTATCGACGACAGTATATATGACAGTTAGGCATTTTGAACCGTCACTGTTCCTCCTTCTCTCGATAATCCGTGGTGTTGTTCCTCATTTTTTCTTGCATCCTTGTTTGAACACCATAAAGTAAGCCTTCTTTTTACTTGGTCTCGTTGCTTATTGCCTGCTTAGATCAGAAGCCCGCATTTCACACCTCAACCCTAACCTAAACCTCATCTTCCACACTCATGGCTGAACATCGACCCAAGAGAATGAAAACCATCGTAAATTGTCCGCGTCGTACATTTGAAACAGGAGGCCCTTCATCTGCAACTCCAAGCAGACCCACTAAGGTAAGGGATCCTTTCTTCGCCCCTGAATTGCATGTATCAAGGCTGGTTCGGTTTCATGGCAGAAAATTGGCTTATGTTCGTTATGCAGACGTCCCATGGCTTGTAGAGGAAGGATTCCAGTTTCCTCATGAGCTGGAAGTTCAAGGTACCAACACCTTCATTGGACTACACGGTAAACTTTATCCCTCATTAATTCGTGAATTCTACAGCAATTCCGTTTACAAAAATGGTCAATACATAACCATGGTTAAGGGAAAATTGATTGTGTTGGATGAAGAATTGTTTTTAGCTGTTGGTGGTTTAAGTAGTTCTGGTGAACCATTAGGCAACTGTGAAAACGAGCAATGGGATAATTTTGAGGCATTAGCAACTTACAGATCATGTTTGAGAGACAATGTTTCGGTAACACCAGGAGGTCTAACTAAAATTGGGTTCTTACGGTTGAAAATTGTCTCTTACACTATGTCATTGCATACATGTTAGTTCAGCGAAACACAAATCATGCACAGCCAACAACAAATGATTTGAAGATGATCTTTGCCATTAAGCAAGGGATACTAGTCAATTGGCCTACGGAAATTCTGAAAGTTATGTCCGGGATAGCAACCTCATCGTCCAAATTACTTGCCAACGGGATCTTCATCTCAAGGGTTATTGATCATATGGAGATCGATAACTCGGATGTTGAAATCAAACTGACTAACACACATGACCATCAACTGGGTGAGTATTTGATTCACAAGATGGGCATTTATAAGATCACTAGCACTTGGATGTATCAGGAAGACTATAGGACTACTGTTGACTTGGATCTATCAGATGAAGAAACCCCGGCTGCACAGCAGGAGCAACCTACAGCTCCACCTGAGGCCCCTAAAGCATTTCAAGCTCCTCATGTTGGACTTCAAGCATTGAATGATAGTATGGACTCAGGGTTGATGAACCTATACGACTGGCTTGCTACTGACATCCAAAGGGAGAATGACCAGACCAGGGGAGAGATTGACAGGATTGCCTTCACCCTGCAGACTATGTCTACTGGCTCACACCCTCCGCCTTCCAACAAACCTAGTTAGAACCTATCTAGGATAGTTGACCAGTCTAGGTAGGAGTTGTTAGCTTTGAGTCTATTGTGTCTACTGCTGTTTCTCTTTCCACTGCTGTTTCTCTTTCCACTGCTTTAATGTATTCCTTGCTGAACTATTATTGTGTTGCGTTTATAATCTGACTATTTGACTTCTTAACTTTAATTGTTGTTGTCTTTCTATTTTTTCTATTACCTTACTTTATGTGACACTTTTGCTGGGTTTTTTAGTATATCTCTATATGTGTCACATAAGAATGTACTATTACTGCTATGTAGCACAAATATTGTCGGAAATTCTCCATTATTTATTTTGTTATAGTGAATAATTGATTAAATGTTGTCCTTAATCAATTATTCAACATAGACCATGTGCACTTGTTTCATCTGTATATATATCTTTAAAACTGTTATCTTTCCTACCTTTGGCAAATCGGTCCGGTTAATGACCTTTTTTATCATGCCAAAAGGGGAAGAAAGGTGTGGTTGTTGTTATTCTGATGTGTTTGCAGGATTATTCTAAATGCTTCTGCAACTCAAAAAGAAAGGGGGAGTTAATACTCAAAAACCCAACTCTCCTCATGCACAGAATGAGGGGGAGATTAAGTTGAGGGGGAGAAGTGCAAAGTTTTTGACTACTCTGATCGCTGCAAGCATAACATCAGTCCATCATCAAGCTGTTTCTAAGCTAAATTGTTTCAAGGTTTGTCATCATCAAAAAGGGGGAGATTGAAATTGCAAGTACTAGTCAAGGCTTGGCGAAATAGGGTTCGAATAGCAAGTAGGAAAGGCTCAATTTGGAAGTGTGTGTAAATAACATTTTCAAATATAGTGAAGCAAATCTCCCAAGATCAGAAGGGGAGGCCTGGATGTAGTTTTCCAGTGGACAGCCGAACGAACCAGGATAAAATTTCTTGATCTTCTTTCTCTTTCCCTTATTTTTTTACTGTTCCAAGCATATTAAGTATCTTGCATTCTTTATCTTGAAAGATTGAATCTTTGTTAGTAAAGATTGAGTCTTTGATATCTGTATAATTGTTGTGTGTTGTTTATGATATCATAGTGAGAAGTTGCATGATTCTTGGATAGCTTGTTTACCTAGAAACCATATTTTACATAGCTGTTGTTTCTGGTGTTTCTGCTCCAGATAATCGATTATTACAATCCTTTAATCAATTAAATTTGTCTCAGACAATCGATTATATTTTCACTTATTTGATTATTACTGAATATTTCTGTGATTCTTGATTCTCTACGCATAAATTCGAAAAGCGGACATATTGGTCGCTTACACCTATTCACCTCCCCCTCTAGGTGTTATACTCTGATTGATCGGTACCCTAACATTGATAAGCTTGATGGCAATCAGTTTCATATTTGCAAAGGTTTTGAAATCTAATGTGTTGCTCCCTCTCACTTTGTTCACCCCCTCAATCCATGCATGAGGTAGTGTGTAGGGTAGCTCAATTTTTTCTCACCTTTTATTTAGGTGGGTGAGTGTGAACACTCAATTTTGTGCAGCCCATTTACAATAAAAACGCAAAAATAAGAATAAAATGTCACTTTATAAGTTGGGAAACTTTATCTGTTAATACCATCTTTCATTTGGACTCTTCCTAAATAATAATGAATAAATAAATGACATACCCTTCATAAACAAAATAATCATTTCTTAAAGGCAATTATATAATTTTTCTTAGAAGCCATTTTTGATGTAATGAAGAATGTTGGAATCCTTAGAGGTGAAGGAACAATTTGTGAGTATTGAAAGTTACAATAGAAATCATAATCCAAAAAACAGTTATGATGGGAGGTAACAAATCATCTTCCTTCTCTTTAAGTGGCATGTTCAAGTCTTATTCCTCAAGTGGAAGTAAAGGTTATGATTACTATTTATGAAGATGATGGCAGGACGATTTTTGCAAGTGATGAAGACACAGGGCGTTGGAATGCTGAACCTGAGACAAATATGTGGGTATATGGAATCACCAGTTGGTGTTGGGTTTTTTCAGTCGCAGGAGCAAAACCCATAATGAGTCTCAAATGGTTTTCAATGGCAAGAATATTCAACCTTCATCAAAAGACCAACTTCAATCTGCAATAATCACACAAACAATTAAACAACATAAAGATATCCGAAGCAGTCAAACCATGTTGGAATTGAAACAAATATACAATCTATCGAAATACGTGGTAATTCTTGGTGTGCAAATATGCTGCAACATTAAAAGAAGAATGGCAAGAGCAATGCAAATTCTGGCCAACGTCATATCATTCACTGGCTTATAAAATTGATGGCATTACTAGAGTTAGCAAGGAGGACTCACAGTCAGTTTTCAAGTTTATGCAATCAGATACTGAGTTGGCAACATCTTATGGCTTAGTTGTCAACGCTGCAGTAATATTGAACCCTTCATCTATGCAAATAATTTCAAGTGCATGTGATCAGGTTGTTTGCTTGGAACACTTGCAAAGTAGACAGTGACATCAGCTCATGCGGCATTAGAAAGCCATGAGTTATACATAAAAGGCAAATAAGCAGTAGCAAAAGTCAGAAGTAATGTCCTGTGCAGTTACATATTCTAATAATCAGCAATAATGTGCATGATGACCAGTTACACTTCAAGCATAATAAGCGTTAATAATGGCAATTATGGACAGTTTTGAGAGAATAATCAGCAAGCCAAAAGCCTTGGATGTTTCTGGCTATCAATGGGCAAATCAAGAGGTTTTTTTTTCATAACCCTTTATAAACAACCATCAGATCACACAAGAGGGCAGAGATTTTTATTCTTAAAAAACATAGCTTCCAGAGAACTCTCTTTTTCCTTATCCATCGAAACATCATATTACAGTAACAAAATCACAGTCCCTACACCCATACCCATTTTTTATTCCAATCCTGATACTCTCACCTCATTAGACAAAACTTTTGGCAACCAAACATACCCATACTCACATCGTATGCACCAAGCAGCAGACAAAGAGAATCCAGAAAGGGGAAAGTCACACAAAAGCAAGTAGAACGGAAGCATAAACGTTCTAAGTCACGCATTTGGTCATCAACAAGTATAGTTTTCCTTGTCTAAACACAACAATTCCAATTACATTGTCCAAGACATAAACTAAAGAGTTAATCAAGAAAGAGCCAATGAGTGAAATTTAAAACATAAAGAACATATCTTGCTTGTTTTGGATTGTTAGTCTATGTTCCAAACCCACATACTCAATTTATATCACAGAAACACAGACTTCCATTTATTCAACTCCAACAAAAGTGTATACATTTCTAATCAATTAAGAACAGCAAATAAGAACGCCTCATGGGGGTCATAAAACGATTTTTGATTGGTTTCTGAGTAGATTAATATCCAAACCATTTCACAATCAAGTAGGCAATTGAATCGTAGTGTTTAGGCTGATTAAAAAAATCCCTAAAAAGGGGAATTTCGAATCCCTCAGTAACAAAGGGAAAAGAGAGTGCTTCATAACACTCGAACCACCATATTCGATGCTGGTTCTGGCGGAAAAAAACGGCCATGGCGGGTTTCTACCACCTTTGCGGTGCAAAGAACGAAGAAAAGAAGAGGACGAGGGGTAAGGTTTTCATACCTTTCATGACCTAAACCGATGTAACAATCGAAGGTAGGAGTTGGAGCAGACGAGAAGCTCCTCATTAGCTCTTCGCCGGAACTAAAATGCCGCTTCCGTCGCCGGAGGAGAAAACCCGTGAACTCTTTCTCCGCCTTCGTCTTCTCTCTTCCTTCATCTTCTCACCTCTTCTCTCAAACTCCCTCAAGCCAGAAATGAAAGTTAGAAATCAAACCCCTCCCAACCTGATTCACATCTATGTGGGCTTTCGGCCCACATATCCTTTTTCCTTTTTTTTATTTTTTTGTATTATTTACAATCTTTTATTTTATAATTAGGATATCAACAATTTATGTTAATGTATGTCTCATTCGATTGTTAAATTTCATACATTTTTTATTTTACTAACCCCTTGTTTATCTATCCTTATACTTGTATGAATAATTATCCCGCGTGATTTAAATTGATGATTCTAAGTCCCTTTACTTTTCGTGACAAATTATAACTTTGAAAAAATTATATTTATTATATTAATAGAAATCTTAATGTACCTCTAAAAATAATAACTCATAAATGATTTTAAATGGAAATTTTATAGTAAGGTTATGACTCGTTTTGTCTCTAAATTCTCTGAAAATGGGAAGGAGGTCTACGACCAGTGTCGTCTCTAAACTATTAATTTCATATCAAATATTTTAAAGAAATTTATTCAAATGATTTAAAATGGAATTTTTTATAGTAAGGTTATGGTCCGTGTTGTCTCTAAATTCTCTGAAAATGGGAAGGAGGTCTACGACCAGTGTCGTCTCTAAACTATTAATTCTATATCAAATATCTTAAATAAATTCATGTTATTTATTCAAATGATTTTAAAAGGGATTTTATAGTAAGGTTATGGCCCGTGTTTTCTCTAAATTCCCTGAAAATGGGAATGAGGTCTACGACCAGTGCTCTCTCTAAACTATTAATTTCATATAAAAAAATAACTTCAAAACTACTCTATTATTCAATGAATTTCAGTGGAATTTTTATAGTAACGTTGTGGCCCGTGTTGTCTCTAAATTCTCTGAAAATGGGAAGGAGGTCTACGACCAGTGCCGCTTCTAAACTATTAATTCCATATCAAAAATGTTTTTAGTAAAAATTTATTTTATTACTCAACTAAATCGATACCTTCAAATCAACGAAACCGACCAATTAATTTTCGAACCAGAACTACATAGCCTTGATTTCCCTATTGCACTTAGGGATATGTAGAAGCAAGAAGAACTCTTGTCAGGCACAACAATAAAAAATAAAAAAAATTTCTTTTTATTACTGAATTTCAATAAATAATTTTAAGGGTATAAAAGTCCATGTTCTTAGATAGGGTACCGTTTTAATACGGGCGGACGGGGTGCTAATACCTCCCCCGACCCGTAATCGACTCCCGAGCTCAAAATCTCTGATTAAATACCAAATTATCCTAATTGGGCATATTTAGAGTTTTCTACGTTTTAACCGCAAAAACGTAGTGTCGACTCCAAAACAATTGGAAGAGGTAGAAATCGAGTTCGCCTCTCCCCAAGTCGTAGGGCTGGTCTTCCAACTTAAAATCGGGTCACGACAACATTTTGAAGTGATTTAGGCATTTCTTTTGAATAATCCACATGCCATATAGCCTACCTTGAATGAAATTATCCTTTGCTAGCCCTTTTGAGCCTATTTACCATTTCTTTGTTATATAGCTCATTACAAGCCTATAAGTGAAAACCATGATTATCCTAACCTTTGGGAATTTTGGAGCTTTGGAATTGTTTTAGGAATGGGTATTAAGTAATGGTGCATTGTTCTTCATTGTTTATAATTCTTAGTTATGACTCATTGGTTGATGTATTTGTGTACATAAGTGTGGTGTCGTTGGAAAAAAAATTGAAAAAAGCAACAAAAAGAGAAAAAAAAAACAAAAAAAAAACAAACAAAAATGAATAAAAGTGGAGTGTGGCAAAGAGGATTGAAATTAGAGGATGATTTACTTATTTTGGGTTGATTTTGTCTTACTTTTTACTTATTCCTCATTGCTCCTCTATTTCCTTGGTTTTAAGCTACATATCCATATTTTATCCCACCTTGTCATTGGTCTCATTACAACCTTGAAAAGTCCTTTTGATCACTTTGTGCATGTGTTTATGATGTTGATGTTAGAAACTTGTCAAGCATATGGCTGTGTTTGTTTTCATGAAGTGTCTTGAGTGTAAATACGTACAACCTAAGACACATGAGTGTAAACACTTTAGAGAGCATATCTTGTGAGGATCTATCATTGTTGTGACTCACCTCTTGATTTGATTGGTTTCTGTAACACCCCAAATTTTAAGTCTTTAAAATTATAGTATCAGTCCTCGGATCCTCGCTTGAGCGAGAGGTACTCGCTTGAGCGAGAAAGGTTCACCTGGGAGGGTGAAATCCTGGGCTATACTTGGCAATTTTGGGTAATATAATCGATTACACAGTCTTGGTAATCGATTACATGATGAAAAGCATCAGATATGTACATCTGACACAATGTAATCGATTACACCATGTTGGTAATCGATTACATCACGACAATGCCTCTGTAATTTACACTGGGTAATCGATTACACACTTATGGTAATCGATTACATCGTATTAATGTAATCGATTACACCATGTTGTTAATCGATTACATCGCGACGATGCCTCTGTAATTTACACTGTGTAATCGATTACACTATACTTGTAATCGATTACACTTATCGCTGTGACTATAAAAGTGAATAAAAGGGGACCTAGAAACCCTAATCTTCATTTTCTTTCTCCCCATTTTTCTCCCAACGGTGGCTCCACCCAAATGGACCATTTTTACCTCCACTAAGCCTCAAAACTCATCAAAACCTTACTCTTGCTTCATGGTGACACATTTGGAAAAGCTTGGAGGAGAAAAAGCAACAATGGAGGTTGGAGGAGATGAAGGGAGATGTGGCTCTTTTGCGGAGCAACGGAGCTTACGCAACCTAAGGTGAGGGAGAAGACCATTGTGGTCTTAGAGTATTTCATTAGAGTCATCATCTCCGATTTCCCTCAAGAATCGGAGCATATTAACGGATAGAAACTCTCTTGGGAGTTTGTGGTCCATGTGAAAGTCTATATTTTACATGAGGATGTATTAGCCATAAAAGTGAAGATATATGTGTGGGGAAAACCGTTTATTTGAGTAAAACGCTATATGCTCATTTATGGTAATACACCGTTATTAAAGATGGTTCTAACGTTAATGTGTATATGATGAAGAATATGTTATGCGTGGTTTGTTTATGATAATGGTTATGTTGTGTGATAATGATGGTGTGTGAGATATTTATGGTCATAAGCATAAATGAGTATGTTGTAAGTCGTTGATTGTTATAAACATGTATGGGTGGATTGTACCAATGAATGTGTGATGAGTTGTGAATGTGTCAAAATGGAATGAGTATGTTTATTAAAATGAGTATGTTGTAAGTGGTTGATTGTTATAAACATGTATAAGTGTGTTGTAACAATGAATGTGTGATGAGCTGTGAATGTGTTAAAATGGGTAAAGGTATGTTTGTGACAATGAAGGTGTTGTATGTTATTTGTGGTGATAAAATAATGAGATGCCTTGTGTTGACTGTGTATGACATGGATGTGAGTGTAATGTGGAAACTCGACCTGCCCGAGGTGGTATGGGGATTACTCGACCTGCCCGATGGGGTATGTGTTGATTGATATACACATATCATGATGATGTTAGATGTGTGTGGTTTTAATACTTTAATGTCATTACTCCATGTAAATCCCGCTACGGTCGCCGTAGTTGGTTCTTACTCCCTTTGTCTTTCATTGTATGTGTTGTATATTTGGGTTCAGGTTGTGGAGGTAGCGCATTGGACGCTTGCGGAGAAGAGTACATGATAGAGTAGTGGATAATATGTAATTGATATGTTATATGATAAATATTTGTAATATGAAGAACATGTTAAAGTGAATCCATGTATAAACAACTTTCTTGTAAGTGTATAATGAAGTGGATCTAATACTTGTATTCAAGGTAATTTTGAGAAAGTGTAATTGTATAAAGGATGTGTTTGAACGGAAATGTAATGACATGCTTTTGAAATGAAAGGGGTTTGGAATATTTCCGCCTTGCAAATTTATAAACGTATTCTCTCAAGTTTCCAAATTGTTCGAGTAATGTCTTTCAAAAGTAATCACTTCACTTTCATGAATAAGGTTTTTAAAAGAGAATTTTCGAGTTATGAAAATCGGGTCCTTACAGTTTCTTTGCATACTTGAATTGTTTGGATGATCTTCATGGATATCTTGATTCTTTGATCTTGTTACTCTTGTTTGCTTGATTTTGCCCATCTCTTTGCATTTCATTGAATTCAATGTGAAGTATGTCATCTTTAGGATTTTTCATTTTCTAGTTTTTAATAATCTTCTTACATGACTCACTTTGGTGCACTAGTTAGCATAACATTATTTCTTGATTTTGCTCAGGAGCGCAAAAGGTTATGTGTGGGGGTATTTGATGAGTCATATATTACACACTATTCATAACCTTAATTTACAATTGTTAATAATTCTTGGTGTCTAATTGACTTTTTTGACATGGTTTAGTGTTTTGGGTTTTATTGGACTATTATTCCTAAAATGAGTTAATTTGGGATTATTTAGCCTAATTAAATCTAATTCCATTTTCAGGTTATAATTGACACCAATGACATTTTGGGCATTACAAGTGGAGGATATGTGCAAAAGTGAAGATTGTATATTATATTAGAATTTTTATTTCCGTTTGGGTTTTGGGCTCATTGTTTTGGCCCATTTCCATTTTAATCTATTAAAAACTCACAAATTCGGTTTTGAGGACACACTTGAACTTTACTCATTTTTACATTGCTTTAGAATAGACAAGTTTCGTTTTCCCTCTTTTGCTCTCCTAGGGTTTATGCATTTTTATTTTTCCTCCTCCCCATTTTCGGTTTTGCTTAATCCTTCCATGGAAGGCTAAATTTCTAGAATAAACTCCTTTGGTAATGTATCACAACTCTTGAGGTATGGTTATTAATGCAATTTCAGTTTCTTATTTGTTAATTTTTTCTATTCAATTTCTGATTGTGGTTTTCTTAATTCCATGCCTTAGAAATAGATTTGTGAACTGATTTTCGCTTAGTCAATCATTTCTCTAGTGCATG